AGCGCAGAGTTTTCTGCTCCAACTATGTTAGTATGCTATTGATTCAAGTCCAGAACAAATGAATTGCTGACACCTCCAAGATAAAAACTGTTCCTTCATTATTCTCGTATAAAATAAATCCATTGAAAAGTAAATAAAATCACACATGAAAAAGTATATAAAGTCAATCAAACATCACCTTTAAACAAGCTTCCCACACCTTACGTGTTTCCTGCTACACCTGCACTTATTCATAAGCACACAGTGTCATTGTTCCAAGTGCTACTCAAACAAGCTGAGCTGATTCTGTCTCCAGTCATTTTGCCTGAATAATGATTGGGACAGATAAGTACACCTACTGTGTTTATTGTCTATGTGGACTATGCTTTTAAGTTCTCTATACAGTTGTCTTTGTTTACTATGTTTGTCAGTAACCCTGCATGTGTACAATAACATGCACAGTATAAAAATATCTCAATTAACGTAAACAACTGACTTATATAGATACATTAAATATAGTATTTTATTTATATATTGTATTGTATTTATCATAACATCTGTTTTCTTCCCACTATCCTTCCTCTCCTAGTTTTAAAGACTCTGCGAGAGGATCATAGCAGTTATTATCAGTGTGTATTCACAAGATAATCCATTTATAAAGTTACATAGTTACATAGCTGAAAAGAGACTTGCGTCCATCAAGTTCAGCCTTCCTCACATATGTTTTTGCTGTTGATCCAAAAGAAGGCAAAAAAGCCAGTCTGAAGCACTTCCAATTTTGCAACAAACTAGGAAAAAATTCCTTCTTGACCCCAAAATGGCAGTCAGATGTCTACTTGGATCAAGCAGTTATTACCCCACTAATTAGAAATCATATCCCTATATGTTATGTTTTTTTGAAGTATTTATCCAACTGCTGTTTAAACATCTGTATGGACTCTGATAAAACCACATCTTCAGGCAGAGAATTCCATATCCTTATTGCTCTTACTGTAAAAAACAACAACTTTCTTCCAGCCTAAATGCGTGACCTTGTGTCCTAGGCATAGCCCTGTTTATGAATAGATTTCCAGATAATAGTTTGTACTGGCCCCAAATATATTTGTATAATGTTATCATATCCCCTCTGAGGTGCCATTTTTTCAAACTAAAGAGATTAATTTTTTTTTACCTTTCTTCGTAACTAAAATGCTCCATTCCTTTTATCAATTTCGTAGCTTGTCTTTGCACTTTTTCTAGTGCGATGATATCCTTCTTTAGAACAGATGCCCAAAATTGCACAGCATATTCAAGGTGTGGTCTTACCAGCGATTTATAAAGAGCAAAATTATATTTTTATCCCAAGAGTTTATGCCCCTATTTATACATGACAGATTGATGTTGCAAATTGCTGTCCAATTTGTTGTCTATAACAATTTCCAAATCCTTCTCGTGCGTGGTCAGGGCCGCCATCAGAAATTGTGGGACCCCTAACACAGCTCAAGGTCTGGGCCACCCGGGTGCCCACCTCCAAGCCCCGCCTCAAAATCCCGCCCACTGGAATACACACACACAGACACAAAAGGACACAAACACACACACAGAAAGATACACACATACTAACAGACACAAATACTGAAACAGACATACACACATATAGACAAATACACAGATACCGATACACACACACACACACACACACACACATACTGACATACAGACACACCCACTGACGTACATACATACTCACATACTGACACACACACACACATACATACAGACATACATACATACATACTGACAAACAGACATAGTGTAGTGGTTATGGTGTCAATAGTGCCAGGACCCCCTCCCAGAGTAAGTAGTCAAACCGTTTAAGAATAGTTTGACAACTTACCTGAGGTCTGCTGGGAAATGGGGCTGTAGTAGGGCATAGGAGCAGTGGTGTGTGTGAGTGGTGCAATGTGTAAGTGGTACATGTGTGTGTATGTGTTTGAAGGTTGTAGTGTGTGAGTGAGGGCGGCAGTGTATGTCAGGGATGCAGTGTATGTGTGGGACAGTATGTGTGTGTAACAGTTGCAGTGTGTGTGTGTGAGTATTGCAGTGTATGTGTGAGTGTGGGCAATGTGTGTGTATGGGGCGGCAGTGTGTGTGTATGGGGAGCAGTGTGTGTGTATGGGGATAGTGTATGTGTGTAGAGTGTGTGTGTGTATGGTGGGCAGTGTGTGTGTATGGTGGGCAGTATGTGTGTATGGGGAGCAGTATGTGTGTATGGGGGGCAGTATGTGTATATGGGGGCAGTGTGTGTGTATGGGGAGCAGTGTGTGTGTATGGGGAGCAGTATGTGTATGGGGCAGTATGTGTGTATGGGGGCAGTATGTGTGTGTGGGGGGCAGTATGTGTGTGTGGGGGGCAGTGTGTGGGGGGGCAGTGTGTGTGTATGGGGGGCAGTATGTGTGTATGGGGGGCAGTATATGTGTATGAGGGCAGTATGTGTGTATGGGGACAGTGTGTGTGTATGGGGAGCAGTGTGTGTGTATGGAGAGCAGTATGTGTATGGGGCAGTATGTGGGTATGGGGGGCTCTTGCCAGCAGCTCCGCTGGGTTCCTCTTGCGCAGTCGGAGCGTTGCCGCGGTTACCGCGGCAAAGCTCAGATCTCGCGAGAGTGAACTCTAGCCCTACAGGGGGCTAGAGTTCACTCTCCACTGGACCACCAGGGATGGCAGGAGCACGGTCCCCCCTCCCTACATAAGGTAAGAATTGAGGGCCCCCACACCCCCACACATTACACACTAACATACAGCACACACACATACATCACCCTTATACACACAGCACACACACACTAACAGCACTCTCACACTAACAACACCCTTACACACACAGCACCCTCACACATATACACAGCACACACTAACAGCACCCTTACACAAGCAACCTCACACACACAGCACCCTTACACACACACAGCACACACTAACAACACCCTTACACACACAGCATCCTCACCCACACACACAAAGCACACACTAACAGCACCCTTACACACACAGCACCCTCACACACACACACACACACACACACTAACAGCACCCTTACACATAAACACACACACCACCCTCACACACACACACACACACACACTAACAGTACCCTTACACATACAAACAGCACCCTCACACACACACTAACAGCACCCTTACACATACACACACACAGCACCCTCACACACACAGCACACTTACACACACACAGCAAACACTAACATCACCCTTACACACACAGCACCCACACACACAAAGCACACACTAACAGCACCCTTACACACACATCACCCTCACACACACACACACACTAACAGCACCCTTACACATGCACCCACTAACAGCACCATTACACACACAGCACCTTCACACACACACACAGCGCCTTCACACACACAGCATCTTCACACACACAGTGCCCGCACACACACACAGCGCCTTCACACACAGCGCCTGCACACACAGTGCCTTCACACACAGCACCTACACACACACACAGCACCCTCACACACACAGCAGTGTGTGTGTGTGTATGTATGTGTGTGTATATATATATATATATATATATATATACACGCGGCGTGTGTGTTTCTGCTTTAGGGTGCACACCCTTATACAATAGGCTGCGCACGCTGCAGACTGCTGAGTCCATACACACACACACACACAGACTGCTGAGTCCATACACACACACACACACACACAGACTGCTGAGTCCATGCACACACACAGAGACTGCTGAGTCCATACACATAGACATGCGCACGGGGTGTGCCGGGTGTGCCTGGGCACACCCTAATCCCCGTGGCACGCCTATGGTTTGAGTCCTGCAGGAACAGTGTTCCTGCACTTTTTTTTTAGCAGGAACGCTGTTCCTGCAGGCACTTAGCGCCCCCTGTTTCACCTCTTGCCCCTGTCATGGGGGGGCAAGAGGTGATGGAGAGAGGCGCCTGAGCTGGAGAGAGGCGTCCAACCCACTGGACCCCAGGGACAAGTCCACGCCAGCACTCCAGGTAGAAGGCTGGGTGGACATTTTTTTAAATTAAAATGTAATAATTTGTTCTTGTGTGTGTGTGTGTGTGTGAGTGTGTCAGTGAGTGTGTGTGTGTGTCAGTGAGTGTGTGTGTGTGTCTGTGAGTGTGTGTGCCAGTGTGTGTGTGTGTCAGTGAGTGTGTGTGTGTGTGAGTGTGTCAGTGAGTGTGTGTGTCTGTGAGTGTGTGTGTCTGTGAGTGTGTGTGTCTGTGTGAGTGTGTGTGTGTCTGTGAGTGTATGTATGTGTGAGTGTGTCAGTGAGTGTGTGTGTCTGTGAGTGTATGTGTGTGTGTGTCTGTGAATGTGTGTGTCTGTGAGTGTATGTATGTGTGTATGTGTGTACGCATATATATATATATATATATATATATATATATATACATACACACACACACACACACGCAGAGCCGGCGCTATCTGAGTGCCGGCTCTGCTCTAAGCCTCCATGGGCCGGCGGGGAGACCAAAGATCTACCTCACCGGCCCACAGCAGCATGGAGGGAGGCAGGAGAGGACCCAGGGAGCTCTAGACAGAAGCTTCGCCAGGTTCCTCTTGCGATATCTGAGCGCTCAGATCTCGCGAGAGTTAACTCTAGCCCTGCAGGCTAGAGTTCACTCTCCACTGGACCACCAGGGATGGCACAAGACAGCAAGGATTTACTAATCTGCCAAATCCCTCCAAACATACAGCACACACACATACAGCACTAACCGCTCCCTCACAAAAACACACAGCACCTTTAAAAAAAACACAACACCCTCACACACAGCACACTAACAGCACCCTCACAAACACACACACACACACAAACAGCACCCTCACAAATACACGACACTCACACAAACAGCACCCTCACAGGACAAACATACACACACAAACACCCTCACACACAAACAGCACAGTCACAAACACACACACACACAAACACCCTCACATCACACTAACAGCACACAGCACACTAACAGCACACACAGCTGTGTATGTGTGTGTGTGTGTGTGTGTGTGTGTATATATATATATATATACACACACATATATATATATATATATATATATATATATATAGATACATATACACACACACACGCGGCATGTGTTTGTGCTTTAGGGTGCACACCCTAATGCAATAGGCTGCGCATGCCTATGTCCATACACACACACACACACACACACACACACAGTCTGCTGAGTCCACACACACACACAGACTGCTAAGACCATACACACACACAGACTGCTGAGTCCATACACACACACACTGCTGAGTCCATACACACACACACACTGCTGAGTCCACACACACACACACTGCTGAGTCCATACATACACACACACACACAGACTGCTGAGTCCATACACACACACACACACACAGACTGTTGAGTCCATACACACACACACAGACTGTTGAGTCCATACACACACACACAGACTGTTGAGTCCATACACACACACAGACTGGTATGTCCATATACACACACACACACACACACACACCAAGCCTACCTGTCACTGGAGGCTGTTGCTGGGGGTCAGGCAGTCATCTTCTGCAGCAGCATGGTCTGCTGCTTTAGAGCTGCCCTAATCTTATTGAAATTGGCTTTTTAAAAATTATACGTTTTAGTATACCCCACATGCTTTTGCTTTTTTAAAATTAATTTTCTGTCTTTTTTATTTGATTATCATTATTTTTGATTGCTCTGTTTGGGTTTCTCATTGTACCTTAAACCTCAGTGAGCAATGCATTATAAATAGTTCAAGATATAAAAACAAACATAAAACAAAAAAACAAGCAAAAAAAAAAACAACCACACGCCAAACAATGGTCACATATCACAAATGCCAAGTTATATGGACCTTCCTGTGGAATAAGACTTGACTTTAATTTACCTAATCCCATTTAAGTGCTTCGTTGTAGGTTGTTGAAATGTGACATTTTGGAAACCAGGATGCTTTTAGTTGGTTCCCATTGTGTGGAGAATAGTCCCCTGCATGTTCATT